GGCCCAGCCTTGGCCTTTGTAGGCCTGTGGAGAGTGAACCACCAGATGGAAATTCTCTTTCTCATTCTCTTTCTCCTTCTCTCTCCCCCGCCGCCAAACTCTCTTTCTCTCAAAAAGATAAAACTATCTTTAAAGATGCTCACAACATTGGAGTGATAAAATTATAAATGATTTGAACAGGTGATATTAATGATGTCCTTTCAGGGTGTTCAACTCTATCTTTTTACCAGATAACTTCAGTAAGCATTCAAGCGCAATTTAATGAGTCAGAAGAAAGACCATTTTATAGCTTCTCTACCTAGGTTTTGACTCCACAAGAGAAAAAACACTCTCACTTAAGATTAAAAACTGAAAACACTATTATAATAGAATATAATCATGTATTAGGGGGAAAATAGGAGAATGTGAAGGGAAAAACCAAGAATGCTCTGGAATTTGGTGGCAAGGTTCAAATATGCTGCCTTTAGTAAAATGGCAACAGAGGAATTCCAGAGGATCAGGAAAGAGATATAATGAATGTTACAACCCATAGAATTTTCATGGTGCTCAAATAACAAGAACTGGAATCTACACACTGTATCATTTCAACTGTGAGAAAACAGGTGTTGAGGCCTACTCCACAGATTGAAAAACACAGACCTTGGTCTGCTGCTTACAGTATAAAGATATTACTTTAATGGCCCATATCTGGGGCCTATCTTTATCTTAAATCACTGAACTGCATAAATCTTAGTAACTCAGAAGGCAGATTGTGTAATGGAACAAATGAAGAAGAGCACAAGAATTTTAAATTTCACTTCCCAAGGAATTTGGCTAACAAGCTTGTCTTTTTGTTCAAACAGCAGGATTATTAAGAATGAGAAGTATATGAAGGAACAATTGGATGCATTCTTTTTTCTTAAATAGTAAAAACTAGTGGCATTATGTAAGCAAATATAATTTAGGGCTTTTTTTTTTTTTCAACAGAGAAGGACAAATCAAAACCTTTAATTCACAAGTAAAGTTGACACTTTCTTTTGAGGTACTGAACTTTTAGGCTAAGAAACCATATTACAGTTGAAAGACCAAGTTTTTAGGAGTCAGGAAATTCCAAAGAAAGCCTACAGCAATGCTTATTTGGACATATTACACATGGTACATATTTTACGGGCCATGTTTGACAAACAACTGGGGGATAGAAAAAGAAGTTCTACATATTCAACATGGCAGAATAAACTGTACAATAGGAAAGAGAATTCTGAGATATCCTGAGCACTACTCTGAAACTAAATATTCTATTAATTTACTTTTAGCCATTTGTTTTCCTTTTGCAAAAAAAATTTTAGAGCAAAAAGTCATCTCAGTTGAAAACATCACGTGTGTAAAACACTATGTACATTACCATGTGATAATCTGTGAAGTGGCCCCTCTTTTTGGCAACTCTTTTAAAAAAAAACACTCATGAAACAAATGCTTATTTTCCTCAACCTCAGACCTTAATTTTCTGTCTTTGGAACTTAAAAATACTTACATAATTGTCTTCAAATATGGCTTGACTTTTCTTCCTTGATGGAAACAGCATTCCTGCCAACTTTAAAATTTATAGCTACAACCATATTTTTTTAATTTTTAAAAGCACAAAAAATACCACAACCCCTCAAAGTGATTTTTTTTTTTTGCCTGGCAGAGTTAGTCAAAGTGATTTTAAAATGAACATTTCTTCAACTTCATAATGATCCCACGTCACACTGAAATGTATTCCAACTCAGCATACAGATGGGAAGAACATTTACCACTGAATCTCATTGTAAAATATAACATTTAGAGATAATGACATCAGAAACAAAAAATATTCCAGGGGAAATAATACTCAAATCATTATAAATTTCATGACAAAGTAAAATGGTACATCTCATCTAGTAACCAAATGTATGTGTGTATGTGTATGTGTGTGGAGAGAGGGAGACACAGACAGAGAGAGAGAGAGTGAGATAAAGACACTCTCATTTTACAGACTGTACCACAGTTTTCTAAAGTGCTTCCACATAACCTCACTAATTTGATCTTCTGACAATCCTGAAAGTTGTACAAGTCTCTCTACTTGATAGACATAGTGGAGTGAGATAGAGTAAGGCTAACTGCCTTGCCAAAACCCAGGGCAAATCCAGCAAAAATAACTGGGACTGCAGATTCCCAGGCTAGTTCTTTTTTTTTTTTTTTTAAGATTTATTTATTTATTTGAAAGTCAGAGTTACAGAGAGAGAAAGGAAGACAGAAAGAGAGACAGATCTTCCATCTGCCAGTTCACTCCACAGTGACGATGACCACCCTGGGCCAGGCTGAAGCCAAGAGTCAGGAGCTTCTTCCAGGTCTCCCATATGGATGCAGTGGCCCTTCAAGAACTGTGGCCATATTCTGCTGCTTTCCCAGGAACATTAGCAGGGAGCTGGATGAAAAGTGAGCAGCCAGGTCTTCAACTGGCTCCCATATAGGATGCCAGCTCCACAGGAGGCAGCTTTACCTGCTACACCACAGGCCAGCCCGACACAGGCAAGTTCTTCAAACCAAGGTATAAGCACACAGTTTAAATTAGATTAAGAATATGCAAAGTTGCTGGATTTCTAGAACAGTTTTAATAATTCTTTTTTTTTTCACCAATACTATAAAAGTTCATAATCTATCACTGTTGAAGAAATGAAGCCACTCACTCACCTGAATAATAGGAAAATTGCATAACAAGACTGTTTGAAAGTCCTGATTCTGGGGCAGGTGTGTAGCAATACCGTTAAGATGGCCAGAGTACACATCAGAGTGCCTGGGTTCAATACATGGCTCTAATTCCTGGGAGGCAGTGGTGATTAATCAAATAATTAGATTCCTTCCACCCACAGAGAAGACATATATTGAGATCCCACCTCCTGGCTTTGGCCTGGTCCAACCCTGAACATGGCAATCATTTAGGGAATAAACCAATGGATGGGAGCTTCCTCTTTCTTTAAGTTTCTCTCTCTCTCCTTTTCTCTATCTCTTAAATAAATAATTTTAAATAAAACATTAAATTTGAAAAATTATATGCCTTTGAAAACTTATAAATCAATATAATATTTCAATAGCTTCTAAGGTAGAAAATATGGAAGCTTAATATGGAAGAAATAAACCCTAGTAATCTATCTTTTGAAAAAGGAAAGGAAAATAAAAATATAACATAATCCAGGAAGAATGTTTCAAGAATAGAATAGAGGTAAAATTTGAATTGTAGCACTGGTTACAAGGTTCAAAATTTGAATTCTTCAAAAAGTATTATGACTACAAACTGCTCTTGAACTGAAATACCACAAAAAGGTATCATGGCAACATCCTTTTCATTTCCAAGTTATTGTGTCAAGTTTACATCTATATCTCCTACATTTTTATAAGAACATAACTGACATTTGTAATCCATAAAAATCAACATTACAGGCAGAATTACTTTTATTTCAAATGACTCAAGGATGTGTTTGCCTTTTAAATGCCTCAAAGAAGCAAGTAAAGTATATGGAGAATGTGTCAGTTTAAATTTTTACATGTGTTTCTCTAGAAAGAAAGCTCCTAGAAAGAAAGTAAAAACATTTTATTTTTCTCTTTCTTTATTTTACTCCCATAGAAATTAAAGAAGAGTTTGGTGCAGGCCACCTGGACATCACCAGCTATCAGGGAAACCAAAAAGAAACTCTCAGATCCCTCTACATAAAGGGTAAGGAAGCATAGGAATATGGGCGGTTTTGCAGAAGAAAAGGAGAAGTACAAATGGTGAGAGTCATAGGGGCTAAAAGAGAGGGGGCTGGGTCTGTGTGACATGCTGGTATAGTGAATAGCTCTCTGAAAGTCATAGTGATCACTGTCACTGAAAAATGCTACTAGACAAGGGAACATATTCATTACGGTGTTCTAACACGTTTACATGTATGTAACAGACAGAAAACTGTGGAGGAAAACATTTACCACTAGATAGCAGCAGCCACTGGATTCAAAATATATTTATGCCATTGGCTATGCCAGTAAAACTACAGCCAACTTGAGAATGAGGCAACTTTCTGTTTGGAAATTGGGAATTTTCTCCCTAAAACATGTCTATAAAATCCATAGGCCACTGTTTAGTTTAGGTCACATGGCCTACATATTTGTTCCTTCTAAGTCAGAATGTAATAAAATATATTAGTTTGACATTTTGTGTTTTGTTTTGTTTGTCCTGCTCTTGGACATCCAGTTCAAATAAAAGCATATAGACTCCTTGATTTTACATCTTATATAAAATAGGCTATATTTCACATAACTTGAATTTGGAACTACTTAAATTCCATAAATACATGTTAGACTTAGAATCAAGATTCTATAAATCAAACAAAAATTGGTTTCACTACTGGGCAAGAAAAAGTTGTGAATTCAGGGACTTGAAAACATCTCATAATGAATAATCAACCTTATATAACTAACCATAATATCTACATGACAAAATCTGTAAAGAATAACTACACACACACACACACACACACACACAGAGTAGCATATTTAAAATACAAACACTTTTTAAAAAAGATACTGTTCACTTCAACAGAACACATCTAATTCACCAAGGACAGCTAACAAAGTGTCTACATTCTGATTTAGGGAAGTCAAAATACTGTGTATCCTATGAATTGTACTTGATATTTCAAATTAATGTGAGAAATTTTAAATTTGCATTTGTTTCTGCTTATCTATCAGACCTTAAGTACAAACTGCACACCATCATCCAAAAATAATGACTATTTAAGGCATCATGGATTTATATCCAGCATTATAGAGCTAATTACTTTATCAAGACAATAGTGAATATTCTTACTCCATGGCTGTGGAAATTAGACCTCCTAAATTGATAGCCTCATAGTTCATCTTAACACAAGATTTACTCTCAAAAGGTAGGAGAGTTGTAGTAGAAAGTCACAACGCATGTTCTAATAAACTAGCAGAGGAATGCATGTGACTATCAGTGTTTCACGTACTTTGCAAAACCAATGAAGTCTTCATGGTTGGTGTTGATGTAGGAAACTTGAATGTCAATCAATAGCAGTACCTATAAATCAAAGAGAAACATTTCTGTGAAAAGCTATCTTTTAATTCTCAAACATTAAATTCAGTGACTGGCTACAAATTATTTCATCTTCATTTAGTTTCCAAAAGAGTATATCAATTACAGTGAAAAATTATACTAATATTTCTCCATTAGATTCATAATTTTACATTCCAAATTCTTTTTTAAAGATTTATTTATTTGAAGTCAGAGCTACAGAGAGAGAGGGAGAGACAGCAAGAGAGAGAGATATCTTCCATTCACTGGTTCATTCCCCAGATGGCCACACTGGCCAGAGCTGGGCCAAGCCAACGCCAGCAGCCAGGAGCTTTATCCAGGTCTCCTATGTAGGTGGCAGTGGCCCAAACACTTAGACTATCTTCCGCTGCTTTCCCCAGGCCATTAGCAGGGAGCTGGATAGGAAGTTGAGCAGCCAGGACACAAACTTCTCCTATATGGGAGGCCAGCTTCACAGGTAGCAGCTTTACTCACACTTCCATATCTTCAAGTACAATTGTTTTTCACCTCTTGAAGAAAACTGACAATTGGGAGGAGCAATTATTATTACATTAACTGTAGCTTTGTCTTCTCTCCCAATAATAAAGCCAGATTCTGTTCAGTGTTATGGTTCCAAACTATAAAATCTGGCCCACAGTTTGTATCAACACACCATAATAGTTAAGTACAAATAAATTGTTGCCATCATAAAGAGCAAAATATCTACATAATTCTCAGCATTGCCAAAAATTATCATAAATATCTTGGACATTCACACACATGAACTTGGACTGCAGTATAGGAAAAAAGTGGAGAAAAAATAAAAGCTATGGCTGTTCTCATTCATTTTCCTGGAAACTGGGAGTCTGTGTTCACCCTAGGAAAAGAGCCAGGTCACATGTGGGGGATGAAAAGGAAAACAGCACATTTTTTTCTTATTTTTTTTCACTTTCTGAGGGTTTCTCACTGCTTTTTCTACCCATAGTTATTGAATACTTCATTGAATAGAAGTGAAACTACCTCTGGTACAAATAATCACCCACAATGTCAACCACTTCAACCTGAAGTTACATGTATGGAAGCTTCTAGAATAACAGCTGGCACACATGGATCTTCAAAGACCTGTGAGGAAAAAGCTCCCAGACAGATTTATGATTTGCCATATTTTTTTAATTTTGAAGATCCCCTCCCCCAAAAAAAACAACTTCCAGATCAGAGGTTGGTCATAATTCTATTTTTATAAAGAAAGAAACCTTCAAGAATGTCTCAGAGCAGTTCAGACACAGATGCCTGAGGAAATGGGTGACTTTCTGACTAGATACTTCAAAAGCATCACAGGGCCTAAGGCAGAATTCAAATGTGAGATCCATCCAAAATGACCGGTTCACATTATCCAAAAGTATGCATGTTTCTACTATGCCACACAGGCCCATATTAGAAAAGGACCCCACCAACTTCTCTAGGAGTGGGTAACTATCAGGTCAGGCCACCTGAGATTGTTAGTGAGTTAGGACATCCCTGCCCTGCCTTTTATCTCCCATGTGGGAATGAAATAATCACTATATGACTATATCATAGCTGCAGATGAAAGATAATTCCCTTTGAAATCAGGAAAGTCAATTCTTCCTCACCTCTACTAGATGTCATAATTTTTCTTAATAATAATAATGTTAATATATTATATAATATATAATATTGTATATAATATAATAATAATAATAAATTAAGAACTGAGAGCTATATTTAGATTAATTCATTTTATCCTTACAAACTGTCTGCATTCACTACCATTATTATCCCACTTTAACATGAGGAAACTGAAATGTAAAGAAGTTGAGTAACTTATCAGAGGTTACACAGAGAGTAGGTGGTAGAGCTTGTGTTCAAAGTCAGGTGATCTGAGCCCAGAGCCCATAAACTTAACAATGCTAATTTGAGTATATAATTCTAGTGAAACAATGTGAAACACGCAGAAGTAAACAGCAGACACAGATATGATCATACATAATTATATTATTTCTATCTGAATATTATTTCTGCATAAGATCTCTACAAGTTAATTTAAGTAGGAAAGATTATAATTTGAACATTGCACACTAAAGATACTAAATTAAGACAGTTTGCTTATTTATTTAAGGTCAGGAGTACAGATGCCTCTTCAGAACTTAAGTTTTCTTGGTCCAACAAAGCCAAAACATTAGGATCCTATGGCCTTGGATTATTTATTTGGATTGATTTCACTGGTTTAAGAATTAATATTGATTGATTGATTTTCACTAATTAAGCAATCCCATTTTCTCCACCTTAGGCTATTTTAGCTATCCAAGAGTATGAAAGCAGGAATACAGCAGGTGTTTGGTGCAGCAATAACATGCCACATAGGATTCTGACATCCCATATTGGAACGCCTGGATTCAAGTCCTGGCTCTGCTCATAATTCCAATTTCCTTTCAGTGTGCACCTTGGGAGGCAGCAGTAGATGGCTTAAATACTTAGGTCCCACATGGAGGATCAAATGGAGTTCCCAGCTCCAGGCTTCAGCCAGGCCCAGCCCTGGCTATTGCCAATATTTGGGGAATGAACCAGTGGATGGAAGACTCTGACTCTCTCTCTCTCTCTTTCTCTCCCCCTCCCTCCACCATCTCTGCCTTTAAAATTAAAAAATGAAAATAAATAAAGAAAAATAAAGCTCAAAGATGAGTAAAACTATAAATAGTGATCTATTTTCAGAGTACAATAGCAAAATGTAGTAACAATGCATCTCACAGCTCAAGCAGAGAAAAGGTTGCCAACATCAGCTCACAAATGTCCCACACCGCTTGGTCTCTTGCCTCTGCCTCTTCACTTTCTCTTGCCACACTACCATCCACCCCCCTCCCCCCCACAGCTCCACAAGCACACTTTGGGCAGTTTGTGCTACATGCATCTCTACCTGTGATTTGCTTCCTCCCTTTTGTCTTCTTTCTTTTCTCCCATTCCACCCCTCCTTCCAACTCACCTGAGAATAAAAAAATCTTGGAATACTAATTTACAAAGACAGTAGGAGATTATATAGACCAACATCCCAACGTTGTACATGAGAAAAGAGCAATCCAAAGAAATGATTCGCACAAGAATGTGCTGTTATTTTGCGGAGAACACATGGCCTTAGTCCAGTGTTCTCTCCACAGCATCACATTGCAGCTGTGTCATGGAATTTAAGAGCATCTGAAAACCTCTGTATTTCCCATCATAATGCTTTATAAGTAACTAAGAAAAATCTATTTAAATGTAAGAAGTTAGATTGTTTTCATGTAGTCTTTTACTTTTTAAAAATAAATTATCTTGACTTGAAATAATCTTTTCTAACCATTCCCTACATACCATCTACACTTATAAAATAGTCAGAAACATTTAAAAGAGCAGTTCTTAAATATTTTTTTCAATCGTAGTTTCCATGGATAAATGGATGAGAAGCTACCTCCATTTCTCTCAGGAAATAAAAGCAGTGAACATTCTGTATAACACTTTAGAAGTTTGTGAACATCCTGGAGCCCATCTGTGGGCTTATTAAAGATTAACTCCTGTCTTAAAGAAAAAGATGTGGTATGTTTCTGGGTTAGAGGTTTGAAAGTCAGATGCATACATCCTAGGCATGCACAGTGTTGAGTGTTGAGAGGAAAATTAATGGAACTCCTGCTGCTGTTTTTAAATTCATTCTAGTCTTTATATTCATTTATATTTTTTAATACAGATAATGTCTAATAGCATGTATATTTAATTCATAATAAGTTAAAGCAAGTACAAGCTGTGTATTCCACTTTTTATTCCCACTAAGAGACATAATGGCTATTGGAGACCAATAATCAGCCTTCCAGAGCTCTCTACTCCCCACAAGTACCCTCCATAGCAGGGGAAGCCATTCTTCACCTGGTCCTTTGTCTTCCCTTCCCGTTCACGAATGTGGTTAGCAACAATCCTTTCCGTTTCCTCACAGAGTCTGGGGAAGTTTGCCAGCTGTCAAGAAAACAGAGTATTAATATTTAAAAAGTTATACTACCAAGAAAAGGAAAAAACCAAGGGCAGGCCTTTGGTCTTCTGGACAAGATTCCAGTTAGGATGTCCATATTCCACATCAGAGTGTCTACATTCAATTCCCAGCTCCAGCTCCTGGTTCCAACTTCCTACCAACGCAGACCAGAGGAGGCAGCAGTGATGGCTCAAGTAATTGGGCTTTTCTGCCACCCATGTGGAATACCTGGATTCTGTTCCCAGTTCCTGGCTTTGCTGACCTCCCTTCCTCTCAGCCACTGGGGGCATTTCGGGAATCAATTAGTGGATGGGAGTGCTCGCTCTTTCTCTCTCTCTTTCAAATAAATAAATACAAAGTTTCAAAAGTGAAGCAGAGATAAATTATGCTATCTTACAGAAAAAAAAAACTCATTGCAATTCTGGAAGCAAAAGTGAAGTGTCATGAAATCCTAAAGAAGAATGGCAGAGTGATGGAAAAAAAAAGCAACTTCATTATCTGAGAAGAAACACTTCAAATCCACCAGGGCAACTGCCTAGAAAGAAAGCAGACACTTACATACCTTCTAGCACTATGCTCAAAGCACTGGAACTTAATAAATGCTCAAAGACAAAAAAGACAAGGGGGCTAATGTTGTACCCCAAGAGGTTAAGTTGCAGCTTGCAATGCCAGTATCCCATATTAGAGGGCCAATTTGAATCTTGGCTGCTCTGCTTCTGATTCAGTTTGCTTCTGATGAGCCTAAGAAGGCATCAGAAAGAGTGCTTGGGCCCATGTCACTCTTGTGGGAGATTAGGATGGAATTTCAGCCATCTGAGGAATGAACCAGCCGATGGAAGATCTCTCAACCTCTTCCCACTTCCACCTCCCCCATTGCTCTGCCTTTCAAATAGATAGATAGATAGATAGATCTTTAAAGAGAAAGGAAGGAGAATGAAGAAAAGAATAATGATTCACATTATACAGTGCTTATCATGTGTGGTATGCTAAGCACTTCATGGATTACCTCATTCAATACTCACAATAATCATAAGAGACAGATGTAACTATTAACTCCATTTATAGAGGAGGAAAGTAAAACCCACAGAGATCAAGTAACTTGCCCAAGACCAAATAGCTCATAAATACTAGGTCCAGGGCTCCAACCTAAGTCCTAGGTCTGCAAAGCCCATGATCTTGTCCATTAATCTTAGAGGATGAGTCACTCTATGAATACACAGAGACTACTTTCATTTTTTAATAAATTCTCCTCTTAAAAATGTGTACTCATATATGTACATATTTTTGGAAAACTGAAAAAAAAATCTATCACTTACCTCATCTAAATTACAGAATTAGTTGTTAAAAATCTAGCTTACAAAAGTGAATTCATTAACACAGTTGTTTTCAATATAAGAAAGAAAAAGAATGGGTTTCTACAGGGTGCTTAAGGAGACCTGATCTGGAAGGAAGACCAGATAAGTGGGGCAAATGTGTGTGTGGGAAAGATGAAGCTAACCAGGTACACAAGCACCTGTGAAGCCATTGGGAAGACAGTGAATGCACAAGCTGGAGATAAAGCTAGAAAAGTAGTCAGTGTCCAAATTACTCACATTCCTGCAAATGTGTTGGGGATTTTGGCTACCAAAACAATTTAGATGGAAAATGATAGTAGCTTCAACAAGGACAGCAGCAAAGGAAACAGAGAAAAGTCGAACACTCACAGCTTATAGAAGGCAAAAGATTAATTCCAATTATGATAAGCATCAGTAATATTTCAATGAAATATGCAAAAACACAATTTAGAGAAGAAATTTAATTGTGAAAAGGCAGAAAAGAAACATTAGAATATACAAGAGATCAAATAATGCAAAGAAAGACAATATTATATTGACAAATTCCAAGTTATTTTTGTAAGACTTATGAAGGTTAAGGCATATTGAGATTAGTACAGTCTAAACTTACTAAAGAGATATCAATAAAAAATAATCTAGAAAGCAATTTGGCAATATACATTAAGTATCTTAAAAATACACACATAAACACACAAATGGATATATATGTAGGCTGTGTGTATGTGTACATGTACTTATTTCATAAGAATCTCAGCAAGAATGATAATGACATTGACCACAGTTGGAATAGCAACAGTAAGACAAAAAATACTACAAACTTCCTAAGTATCCAATGATGTTAACAAAATTAAGGTAGATCCACTTTTGTGGTGTAATGTAAGCCTTTTAAACTTTATTTTTAATAATATCCCATGACGTGGAAAAGTGTCTATAACAGGACACTAAGTAAAGAAAATCAGGCTGTTAAACATGTAACGGGATCACACACACATACACACAGTCATACACCATCATATACGCTTAATTTTCTTCGAGAATGTAGTCCCAGACACATACAAATTCCAAAGCTCATAAGTAATATTGCACATAGTATTTCCCCAAACTTGAAAGCAGAAGCTGACCTCCTGGACATGTATGTGGCTGTTATATGGTCACCAGGGCCACTATGCCCACTGACTTTATAGCATGTGTGATACACACTACTCTCTTAGCAAGATTATAAACCTCAGTACTTCATGGAACTATCATAAACATGAATCACATATAAATGTTACTTCTCTCAATGCTGAAAACTATTGTATGTGTATAAGGTCTATACAAACAATAACAATGTTTAACAGCAATAACTGAATTGGGCATAATTTTGCTTCTCAACATTTTCTAAATTTTTCTACAGTGAAAATAGAATACATTCATAACAACTTCATAAAAACACAGAAACCTGGCTGTCTTGGCCACTTCAAAATCACAAAGAAATGTTGCTTGAAGGCCAGCGCCATGGCTCACTTGGCTAATCTTCCGCCTGTGGCGCCGGCACACTGGGTTCTAGTTCCGGTTGGGGCGCCGGATTCTGTCCCATTTGCTCCTCTTCCAGGCCAGCTCTCTGCTGTGGCCCGGGAGGGCAGTGGAGGATGGCCCAAGTGCTTGGGCCCTGCACCCGCATGGGAGACCAGGAGGAAGCACCTGGCTCCTGGCTTCGGATTGGCGCAGCGCGCCGGCTGTAACAGCCATTTGTGGGGTGAACCAACGGAAGGAAGACCTTTCTCTCTGTCTCTCTCTCTCACTGTCTAACTCTGCCTGTCAAAAAAAAAAAAAAAAGAAGAAGAAAAAAAGAAAGAAATGTTGTTCCATGAGGCTACCAATCCCTCTCATACTTACTGGCACCCTTACCTGAATCCTGAGATGCAAGCTCATCTTGGGGTTTATTTCATGAATTGGTGCAATATAGATATGGAACATCCGTTTTCCATTTTGGAAACATTTGCCAGGAAAAACTCTTTCACTTCAGGACCTCTTTTAATACTCTGAGAATACTAAAACTTACTTTTTGTGAGGGTTATAAAAGCCTTCAGAGTATGGAAGGGATAGCTGATCAATTATCAGTCCTCCTTCACTAACACAAATCTAGGGGGGTTATGTCTGGCACTAGATATCAGCCTGCCTTAGGCCACTACCGCAGCAGTTTCATCGCTGCAGACAGTATCCGAAGCTATCAAGGAATGCTTGCTTTTCCATGTTAGGCACACTATTACAGAGTTACATTGCTGTAGAGAAGTAACTATGAAAAGAGTAGCAGTCTACCACTGAGGAATGGGATGCCTGTGACAACATTTAGGAAATGGATTACAGCAGAATGTTATTTTTAAAACCACTGAATGGTGGTAATATAAATATTTATTCAGAAACTAAATACTTGACAGCTGAAGGACCCCAGGCCAGTACACAGCCATCATTAAGTCAGGGAAAGGCCAAAATGACAAGAGTATCCCATGAAGAAGAGATATCTAAGAATACCTTCAGCCTATTGGCTGTGGCAGGAGGATTTATTTTTAAATAAATAAATGTGTGTGTCTCCTCATCTATCTAAGCTTACTACCCTTAGTCTCAATATTACCAGGAAAGGAATCTAACAGAGCCACAATTTTGCACCTACAACTGAAATAAGTGGGATTCAATCAGCCTAAAATCCAAGTGGAACGAAAAAGGAAGAAAATGTACTGGAAGAGGTAAAGGGGCAAAAACACTGAAGAAGACAGTAAGCAGTGTAAGACCTAGGCATCGCTGAAAGGCAGGATTAGAACTAGTATTGTTGCTAGAAGGTTGATCTTGAAAGAGTTGTAGGTGTGTAAAAATCAAAATGTTGCTGCCAGTGCTGTGGCACAGTAAGCTAAGCCCTCGCTTGCAACACCAGCAAGCATCCTTTATGGGCACCCATTTGTCTGCCGGCTGCTCCACTTCCAATACAGCTTTCTTCTATGCCCTGGGAAAGCAGTAGAGGATGGCCCATGCTTTGGCCCCTGCGCCCACATCAGAGACCCAGAAGAAGCTCCTGGCTCCTGGCTTTGGAACAGCCCAACTCCAACTGTTGAGGCCATTTGGGGAGTGAACCAATGGATGGAAGACCTTTCTCTCTGTCTCTCCCTCTCTCTGTAACTCTACCTCTCAAATAAATAAATAAATCTTAAAAAAAATCAAAGTGTTGGTTTTAGGGGCAGGTATGTGACCTAGCGGTTAGTATGTCCACATCCCATATCAGAATACCTGACCTGAAGTCCTGGCCCCAGCTTCTGCCAGCTTCCTGACAATGCTGACCACTGATGGCTCAAGTGGTTTTGGTCCCTGCCACCTAGGTGGAAGACTTACATGGAGACCCTGTTTCTTGGCTCCCACATTCAGCTCTGGCATTGTGGGCATTTGAGGAGTAAACAAGAAGAATGGGAGTACTTTCTCTTCCCCCATCCCTGTCTCCCCTGCATCTTGAATAAATGAGAACATAAAATATAAAAATAATAAAAACACTTTTTTTAATTGCTGGCTCTCAAATGCAAAGTTCTAGCTCCTTCTTAAGATACAAATAAGAAGAAAGTAAAAATATGAGTCCCACTGACATTCAAAATGATTTCTGATCAGGCTTCCTATCACTCATTTCATTA